AATATAAAAGAGATTATTTTGGATTTCCAACCAAAACACTCAGAACAATCATCTTCATTTCATTGAACCATACAAATTCAAACGATCAGAGCGCAACAAATCAATTTCGATTGAATAAACTCAATGAAACATCATCAAAAAGTTATTATTGCCATGCCTGTTTCAACGTATGGTTTTTACCCAATTTTTTACAAATTACACTCGCTATTACAAAACCAACCAATACAACACTAATGAGCAAATGATCAAAGTCATCCTTCAGAATGTCAAATGTCCCTGATGGTGTCAATCGAGCAAAAAACAAATCCAACCCGTATGCGAACATCAGACTGGTTGACTCCAATCCAGATGGCCTGAAAACATTCAATACAAAATATTAAAGTCATAATTTCTACGATATTCACAAAAATTCAAGTATGAGTTCGGTTGGAACATAATGAAGTTTGCTTAAATCCATTATAGGGGTCCGTATCACTCATCGGCGCTTGAATTAAATTTCAAAAACTTTGCAGTCTTTTCAGATAATCAAATCAACACATCACATCTCCAAATTTCATCTTGACCTGTCGCGAATGTAAATAAATCCTACAAAATATACTTTTCGAACTCCACAAAAAGTATTCATTTACATAAAGAATTTGATATACTATTCAATCATTACATTAAAAATACGTTCAAAATAAAATATTTTGCAAAAAATATCAAACAGATTTAACTTAATAACTAAACGATAGAAATGAAAAAAATTTCAAAAACTAACGCTGTTTTAATAACACGAATATTGTAAACTGTTTGATTGTAATTCACAAAATCCTCGGACGCTATCGGTAGTTCGGGTCTGTACGGAATCAGCATCTCTTCGGCCAACTCGGGAGTCATTTCAAGCGGTCGCCTCGCGTCAACGATTCGCTTTGAAATGGCGTATATACCACCAAAAGGCATCGCAATTAGCAACGACCTTGTTGATAGTCCTTGCTCTAAAATATTTAATGCTATACATTAAAGTCATACACTATCACCAATACCATACAATATCACCGTAGTCATCCATTCTACTCTCTCCGATTTTCCGTAACAAAAGCACTGCAATTCCCAAAAGGATTGCCTTTCAGAACATTGTTCAATTTCACTTTCTTCCGTTTCAAAAACATTCAGTAACACCAGCCGGAAAAACTGCAGAACCCGTGCTCTATGAAAATATCACATACTCAAATATAATCGCTCAGTACACTTCAAATCAAAGGGATAACTTCGTTAGCCGGCTTTGCTAAACACCAACACCAATGAATGGGAAGAGTTATTACAGTTACAGAGGCAAAGACCCATTCTTTTAAGATTTGAATACAAATCGATGGAATCAATGAATGAGCGAACTCAAAATTCGGCTCAAATTAACAAAACGTCGTCACCTGTTTCGGTGACTCCCAGCGCCGAAACACCTTGCGGGAAGATATACGCTTGCGAGATAGCACTTATCACCCGTGGTATTGTTGGTGTCAATGAATTGAAATGCAGTTCATCCGTTTGCTCTAAACCTTCGTACAACTCAATCACAGCGATTTCCATACGACGACTCTTTTCGTTCCAATACGAATACGTTAGCCAATTCTCACATTGGATCAGATGCACGGGTCCAGATACCTGAAATTCACGAAACTGAATATTCAATTTGAGAATTCGTGAATTTGATGGAAGTCCTTTTTGTGAAATTAAAAAATGATACTGAAAACAACAGACAAAACTTGTTTTCAGACAAAAATTTCATTTGAGTTATTCTCATTTGTTCACGATGACTGCCCAAATGTTCTTTTCTGTTCGGCAATTACACTATAAAAGATTCCAAACCTTTGTTTGCTTTGCTTTATAGACGACATAGCCAGAGACGGCATCAATGAATTCAATATGCAGCACGGAATGTACTGAATCCAAAATCGCGATTACAACCAAATTCGGATTGGAGTACTTGTAAAGCACTGAACGATCACCCAACACCTTACCGTGACTATGCACTCGTTCTACAATTTCAAATATAATTTTTTGTATACCAACGAACTCTTCACTTTCAAAACGCGACGAACATCTCTTAATATTATCATTATTTTCGTCACTTTTCTCGTTATTATAATTATCACCGCTAAATTCACATTTTCTCACTGAACCAAAATCAAATAAATTCGCAAAAGAATCGTCTTGAAACATCAAAACAATTGATTGGTTCGAAAACCTACGACTGATTGGTTTCGATGAGACGGCAATAATTTTTTGCTGTGGTGATAATTTGAGATCGGCCATCCAGACTCGCTGCAAACTCATTTGCTGCGTCTCGAATTGATATCCTTCTAGGTGACCCTTCTGGTCGAATGTAAACAAATGTACGGGCGGTGTATATCGTGATGTGTTCGTGGATTGTAACTTCGGATGCGTTGTTATCTGAACAGATAAAAGATGAATCCAATAAAGATACCTCTCGATATAACTCACACCTCATTCGCAATCATTCCAAATAAATTACACTACGATCAGGATCTACCCCTCACAAAAAAATTATTTGAGATATAAGTTCCTGGAAATCCTTTCACACCAAAAACATTCCGATAAGACACGTGAACGTAAAAAATAAAGATTAGGAAGACATAATCAAAGGAGATCTTATCTTCGAGATTATCCCAAACAAATATACAAAATAAGCCAAGACATTGCTTATGCTGGATCAATCTTAATAAAAAGAAATAATTGCGATGACTAAATGCCAATTCAGTAAAAAAACAAACAGACAATTATAATTATACGTAACAATCACAAACGACAAGATCACAAACGAATGGATCAATACTCAACTGAAACACAACGCTAACCTTATCCGATCTATCCATAATCAACAGAGGATGAATATTTTGTGCGTCAACAATCGGTAACATATCCACCTTCTTTACACGATACGGCAAATCGATCCTCTCCAATAACTTTCCCGTGATTGGATTGAATTTTATGAGTACTCCGTTTCGAGTATACTGCAAAAGTGATCGGTTCAAAAGGCGATTATTGAATTCGATAATTTTTTTTTTATTTTATTTAATCAGCAAATCAAACTCATTACGAGTTTATGCCTCTCTGTTATCACCAATATCACTAATATCACATATTGAATTCCACCAATGCCAATTCCATCAATCAAAAAATCTCGCACAAATCCGAAAAAAACTTCAGATCTCAAAAATCCAAAAAAGTTCAACTAACAAACTCCACCAACTTTATTTGCTAAAACAATCGATGCCAACGCAGCGTGTTGATAGTGTGCCGTTGTGCGTTGCACAAACAACGGAACCGTCTCAGATCCAAGACTCTCTCTCAGAGGTATCGTATCACGACCCAAATAAAGCCTCCACAATATTGATCCATCACTGCTATCCAATCCTAAAAACAAATGAAACGAATTTCAAAATGACATTAAATATAATTGAAAATCTTAGATGATAAACACTATGAAGAGAAAACAAAATCGCAATTTGTAAACATAACTGACCAAAAGATAACTGCTCGTCTAAACAAGTCATGTCTCAATTATAATTTGTCTATTATCTATTAAATGAAAGAATTTTTCAATCCAGACTCAATAGCAAAATGTCTCACTTAAACGTGTAGAATTGTTTTCAAACAAACTTATAAACTAAGAAAATTGCTATGCACCTCAAAAGCAGCACAACCAAAAATCTTCAGAAAATTTTGAAATCATTAGTCGTGAATCAATTCATTAACGACACCAACTCTTCAAGTAACGCATCAACATCCATCTAATTGAAACTAATTTTACTAATTTTAAATTAAAATTTTAGAGCGCAACACAAATCCCAATTAGAGACTAACCAAATAAAGTTGACTTCAGCGTTGCCACCAAAATGATCTTTCGCAAATTGAAATAATCCCTCTCCAACGTCAACTCAGAGCGATGTTGTTTCTGCACTTCATCATAATCGGATGTGGATCGTCGATTTCGATTACTTGCACCATGATTGCGAGCAGCCGATGAACTCAGCGACTGCATCCAATCTGAGAATGACTTTGATCGAATATTCAGAAACGATGATGCTGTGAAGATTTGCTTGGTGGCACTTATGAAGACGCGACGAAATTGATTCACTTGACTTCGAATCCGCCTCACGAACGACTCCAATATTCCAGCTGAAAGTTCACATCCATTAAGAAGACGGAATCCAGAAACCATAAATTCAGAGTATTCAAGAAAACGTTTTGCACTTTAATCCGCCGATTCTAATTCACTCCAACTCTAAAATCAATTTTAACTTTTTAAAATAACTTTTTGTCCCAAATGAAGATAAAACTAATTTAAACAAAAAAGGACTACCAATCTTGATCTCAAATGCATCGATTGTCTATCAGATGAATCCAAACAAATAATTCCTAACAATGAACATAAATGAGACACAATCAGAAAGATCCCCTCTAACTAACCTTCATCGTTGAACTCCGATTCTATGCCAACTTGCGCTTCGGACAGCGGTAAATCGACCATTCGCATTGTTGCGATCGTACTCAACGCTTCATGTCGACTCCACTCTAGCAGCAACTCTGCACTGCTCACTGTAGATGACGCTGAATTTGATTTCAAATTAACACTTGGAACCTGGCCACTTGAGACAGTCCCGATACCTCTCTCTGACTATGAGATCGTCAAATGAATGATCCAAACAATACGATTCAAAACAATATATATTCCCTGAACTCTAACACTTTCAGATTATGCTTATCAGATGCAACGGAACCAACAAACAACTTGATGTCACCAAATCTAAATCCCACATAACACACCCATTTTCGAATGCCACAAAACACTAAAACAACTCAGCTCAATGGTTAATCGAATAGTATTATATTCAATGTATATTCAATTGTGTATTAATTGCCAGGATTGGCCTGCAATATATCACTAATATTGTATTGTTTCGTATCTACCGCCGATAATCTATTGTATTATTGTTCAGCAGCTCATACAAAAATAAAAGCTTGTTAATTGATGAATGAATGACTAAATAATCAATCTGCACCCGAGGTTGTTGCGGCAGATCCTCCAGCTTGTTGCTGTGGTTGAACAACGAAGAAGTCCAATCGACAATCCTGTCCCACAGTCACAAATTCATACTCTCGCCCCACCAACGCAAAAGTGAACAGCTGAACGGGTGCGTGTTGCAGACGATCAGTGGTGCCCAGTTTCGCATCGAACAGTCGTTTTCCCGATGCCAAATCGTATACGCCGACCTCGAAATGGCTGTTGAATGTGGCCAATAAATTGCGACCGTCCGGTGTACGCAACGTTGCCAGCGTATCAGCCTATAAACCGCTATCAACACTACACTTTTAGTCCTTCAATTACCAAAATTTTCCTTTCTTTTGAAAGGAACTTTCTCCAGAGCAAATCTCAAACTAAAAACTAAGATTATCCCTAAATTATCCCTACTCTGGAATAAAATTGTCAATTACAATATGACTATTACTTTGTTAGAAGTTACACTGACTCTCTACTCTACACTAAACACTTTTTTTGTTCAGCGCAATATACCAATACGAGATAGAATCAAAGAAATAGACCAACATCGACAGTTAAAACAGATACAACAATAACAGAGACAATAGAAATGACAATATCAATAACACTAATAACAATACCTTATCCAATACGAGTGTTCCCTGAGGTTGTTGTGAGGGAGCAATTTTGTACACATGAACATTGTTATTGCTTCGGGTTCGTACAGCCGCGAAGCCATCAACTTTAATTGGAATCACTTCATTAACACCATCCAACTGCACCTTCTGCTCTGCAGAAGGGTCAGCCGATAGGTCAATAATGTGTACCGATACAGAATCGTAGCATAACAACAGCGTTGTCGACAACACACATCTGTAATTTTTCAACTAATACCTTCGTTAACCGGAAACTCGTGCGGCTGAAACTAATGTTTTGTGCCGAAACCTCCCGCAAATATCGTTTATCTTCTATTTTGATCAACCAAGATACTTCTTCCTATTTTTATTCTTATCGTTGTTCGAAAAAAAATTCACTTAGCTACTTCAATTCCGTTAGCTACAACTGGCTACTCTGCGCTAGTTCACAATCACAATTTCATTTGTTAACTTTATCATAATGCATTGATTCCTAACAAATTATCAAAGTTATCATAATACTGATCGTACTGGCACCAATATAAAACGATGCGTGACAGGGAGATTTCCATCCGTATACCTCCATTAACTGATCCATCAAATTTTGCTATCAAAAGATCTGCCCAAGGGAATCAGTGACATAAAACAATCTACAATTTGAACATAGATCAACAAAATGAAACCATTATTCAAGTGTTACGAACCTCTCGTTTGAAAACCACGGTGCTGCAATTGTTTG